TGTGGTTTGTCCTGCTGTGGTTTGTCCTGCTGTGGTTTCTCCTGCTGTGGTTTGTCCAGGTGTGGTGTGGTTTGTCCAGGTGTGGTTTGTCGTGGTGTGGTGTGGTTTCTCCTGGTGTGGTTTATCCTGCTGTGGTTTGTCCAGGTGTGTTTTGTCCCCTCTGGCTGCACAGGCACCAGATAGTCCTGGGATGTGTCCCTGGAATGTGGCTGTGATAAAAGCCCTGCAGCCCATCCTGCAGGGACCATGATTCTGTAACTCTGATCCACCCTGCACCCCTCTGAGCAGTGCAGGGTCTCTTCCTGTCTGGTGCTGGCCCATCTCACCCTGGGAAGGGAATGCTGTGCACAGAGATTCCCACAAAAGCAGACGTGGCCCAGCCAGAGGCAGGGGTGTGCTCTGAGCCCATGAATAATGCACCTCATCCTCCATGTCCAGAGCAGGGCAGCCTGGCTCAGCTCCTGGCACAGGGATCTCTTGTGGCAGCAGCTGGGGAGCACAGTGCTCATCTCTGCAGAGGAGGCCCCAGCTCAGCTGAACTGCAGAGCTTGGCTTCCTCACTTGCCCTCTGCTTTCTGTGAGCTATCTGAGTTGTGGTGAGCCACCACTGACCTGCATTCATCTCCATCCTGCTGGTGATTAGAGGTGTCTCTGCGAGATCATCAGTAGTTCATCAAAAATCTACAGCCGTGACCAGGATCTGTTACAGAACCAGGTCCTGTCCTCCTGCCACGACCAGAGCAGCTCAGATGAGTGCATGTCCCAGCCCTCTCCTGGAAGCACAGGTTCTGCCCCCTGCCTTGGTGCTCAGGGAGCAGGAAAGTCAGGCTGATGAGATGCAGTTGGTCTTTGTATAAAGGCAAACTGGAACAAAATCCTATTTATCTTATGCTCAGGAACAATGAATAATGAAAAAGATACCAGATCAAACATTCCACCTTGGGATGTGATGACCAGGACAGGTCTTCCTGGACTAGGTGATGGTCCAATCCTCTTGACCAGGCTTTGGCACTTGTTGGGAGCATTTGGAGAGGCCCAGCAGCTGCGAAGATGGTTTGGGAGCCCTCAGATTTGGGGCAGAGTCTGTGTTACAGTGAGCTCATGGGCACTCTATTTCCCCTTCCCTGGGACCCTGTGACTCTGATCAGATAACCCTGGACCCTCCTTCCTGCCCCAACAGGGTTGGTGGAGAACCAGGGAAGCCCACCCTGTCCAAAGTCTGTACAGACCCCTGACATTTCCTGTTCTGCTCTTTTGCCCCACTCTCCACATGGACATCACAGAATAAAGAGAGTTGGACCAACATATATTGGGGTAAGAGCCTCTTTTGGAAATCTTTGCCATCTCCTGATATTCCTCCCCTCACAGCCTTGGATCTCTGGGCTAGCCTGATATTCAGAGGGCTGTGTGAGGGGGGGAACATCAAGTCTGTACCCGTGGCTTTGCTCCCTGCCACGCTTTCCTGAGACCAGACCCACCAGCAAAGCACAGCCAGCACTGCTGGGGCAGCACTGCCACTGCTTTTCTTGTTACTCCCAGCACTCCTGGGCTCAGTGCTCACTGTGCAAGGCAAGTTGCTCAGCAAGAAGCACAGCAAGCACTGAGACCAGGTTGCTGTTGCTGCTGCAGAAGCCCTGGGTATTCCTGTCCTCCTGCTTTTCCCCATCCCCTTCACTAGTTTCTCTGTCAGGTAGACTCAGCTGTCCTCACCCCTCCACCCCTCTTCTGGTTCCTTCCAGGCTCCTTCTCCCCAGAGCAGGGAGCCTGGGGTGTGTGAGCCCCCTCAGGAGCAGGGGCTGTGTGTCTGAGCACCCTCTGGTTCATCCCCAGCAGATGCACGAGGGCACAATCAGGACATCTGTGGCAAGAACATTTCTCTCCCTTCCAGGATTTTTCATAGAGAAATGAAAGAGAAAACAATTTCTATTTCTGCTCCTTGTTTTTCCCATGTGGAATGTGTTTGGAGAATTTTTTACCTGGAGTGAGTGCTTGGTTGGATTCTGGTGAGGATTGTTTGAGCCTGATGGCCAATCCAACCCACCTGGGGCTGGACTAGAGAGAGGGTCATGAGTGGTGGGAGAGTTAGAGAAAGTAGTATGTAGTTTAACATCCTCGTTTTATATAGTATATTAATGTATTTTAACATAGTTATAATAAAGAAATCATTCAGCCTTCTGAATTGAGTCAGACATCATAATTTCTTCCCATTGGGTTCACCTGCACTTACAACAGACATCCATCCTGTTTGCCTGGCCCTTTTGCCCCCTCCCTGCCCCTCCAGCTGAACTCCTATCTGTGTCAAACTCCACAAATCCCCCTGCAATAAGCCCTTGCCACCAGAAGATCTGAGTGTCCCTGAGTTAAATAGGATTGTGTTCCAGTTTACCTTAATACAAAGACCAACTGCATCCCATCAGGCTGGAGGGTCTTGGCTTTGCAGGACTGAGGAAGGGCAAATGTAAATTTTACCTAAGAGGGGAGAGGATGTCAAATGCCTCATGTGAAATGGCTTTAAAATAAATTACTGCAACAAGCACAATATTCACTGACCACTTGTAAACCTGTGTTGTTTCCACTTGTCAAGTATTTGATTTAAGCAAAGACAAAAATGTAGATTTGAGTGGACAGGATTTTTTTTGCAAGTCTTACAATTCTGTAGTTGGTAGAATAAGCAATGAATGATGAAAAAGATGCAGGATGCAGCACTGTGTTTGGTTATAGAATTTTGATTTATTTTCCTTAGTTTAATGGGCTATTTTCCTTTGAATATAATACCCATGAATTTATTGTTGTTTAAGGGGAGATGCCTGCTTGCACCAGAGGGTAATCCAGGAAGTGATTCTTATAGAGAAAGTTTCAACTTTTTGATCTCCAAAGAATCTGAATACATATTTTTTCTTTGGGTTTTTGTTTTGGTTTGGGGTTTTTGTTTGTTTGTTTGTTTTTGGTGGTTTTTAGTTTGGGTTTTTTTGTTGTTGTTTCTTTTTTCTTTCTTTTTTTTTTTTTTTTTTTTTTTTTTTTTCTTTCTTTTTTTTTTTTTTTTTTTTTGTGGGTTTCCTGTCTTTTGAGCAATTACCATGCTGTGAGGGTAATTTGCAGTTTAGACCTTCTTTACTTTAAACAGGGCTGTCAGAATGGGCACACCAAGCCCCCCTGGTGCTGCCTGGATTTTAGAAATTCATTTAAACCAGCAGCACAAACCCTACATGAATCCTGGTGCAAGAAAAGAAGATTTGGTGCCACTGTGGTCTGTAGTGAGGCTGTGACAAGAGCTCCCAGATACCCACGGTGCCTTTCCCCTGCCTCACCTTCCCCTCCCTTGATGGACCCAGGGGAAGGAGCACCATGGGTTTGGGGTTTTTAAAGCATATTAAGAGATGAGCCTTGAGCATTTTGTCTCAAGTCTATCAGAGGGGCAGGCTAAGTGATTACAGAGCACATTCAAAGCAGGAGGATCAATATTTAAATAGAAAGCATGTCTGTGAGGATGAAAGGGAATTTCCTAAAATTCCATCTTGACGGCAGGGAGAACTGTCATTTCTCTTCCTCTTCCTCCAACAGGAAGCACCCTGGGAGCAGAGGCTTTCTCCCAGCTGGTTCTCAGCAGTGTGTGCCACGAAGCCTCTGGTGGGGGCTGGAGTGGGAGGTGGGCAGCTGGCAAGGATCCAAACTGGTCTGCACTGGACATTGGGCCTGCAAAGGTGAGGAAAGCTCATATCCTGCTGTGGGACCCCAGTTCCTCCTCTGCACCAGGCTGGAGACCCATCCCTACCTGTGCCTCCCCCATCCCACCCCAGCCACGCTCTCTGCCCAGCCTGGCCCGGGTGTCCCTCTGTCCTGCCCAGCAGTACCACAATGGGATAGTTTCCATCAATGTTCCCTGCCAGGTCATCACAACCTCTATTTCTACCCAAACTGTCACTCCCAGCTTTTCTGTGGGAAGAAAAATCTCCTGTCTGCATGGATTTTTTACCCCTACAAGTGTCCCCAGTCCCCTGTGCTCTGCATCTCTCATTCCACCTTCATCCTGCTCTGAGACTGTCCCCAATGCCAAATCCACGTTGTCCATGGTTCATCCCAGACTGAGCAATGCCACTGAAACCAGCCTGGGGAGGAGAGGAGACCACGGTCCCCCCTGTGGGACCTGTGTGACCACGTGTGACCAGGTGGGACCAGGTGGGACCATGTGTGACCAGGTATGACCTGTGTGTCCTGTGTGACCAGGTGGGACCAGGTGTGACCAGGTGGGACCTGTGTGAGTCTCGGGGGTCTGGTGGTTGAAATGACCCCGAGATTGTAAAAAGTCTTTTTCTCCCAGTCTCGTAGCCAAAGAAGGAGTCGGAATGTGCAGGGTCGGCTTCTCAAGGTTTATTTTCTCTTATATACAACATGCTTTCTCAAGGAGCTGCAGTCTGTCCAGCAGGTCAGTCTGTGACTCCCACCCCCTAGGGGTGGTGTTACCATTTTATACCAAAAACTACCTGTGCTATATTTACAATATTGTGCCACTATCTATCATTTATGTTGGACAGTGTGTGTCTACCTTAAACCAATAGAAAAGTGTCACCATCCCACCAAGACATGGAGGACAAGAAGAAGGAGAAGAAGGTCAGGACACACCCAAATCCCTCCATCTTGTCCCCTTGAACCCCTTATTTTAAAACCCGAAAAATCTACTTTTTCACCCTGTGTTAACTCAACTACCACACTTCTCAAACCCTTGTGGCTTGTAATTCCTCATCCAGAGTTGACAGCTTTTCCCATGGGCTAAAATTGAAGCCACAGTTGTTTTTGACTTTGTGCCAAGGTCTCTGAGCCCTCTGCCAGGGTCTGGGCCAGCCAGGGCAGCCAGGGGGATGTGCTGGGTTCCCACATGTGACCAGGTGGGACCAGGTATGACCGGTGTGACCAGGTGTGACCAGGCTGACATGTGTGACCAGGTGTGATCTGTGTGACCAAGTGTGACCAGGTGTGACCTCTGTGACCAGGTGTGACCAGGTGTGACCTCTGTGACCAGGTGTGACCTCTGTGACCAGGTGTGACCAGGTGTGATCTCTGTGATCAGGTGTGACCTGTGTGACCAGGTATGACCTCTGTGACCAGGTGTGACCAGGTGTGACCAGGCTGACATGTGTGACCAGGTGTGACCTCTGTGACCAGGTGTGACCAGTTTTGACCTCTGTGGCCAGGCACGTGGCACTGCTCACACCTCCTCACCTCCCAGCCGTGCCCAGCAGCTGAGCTGGCACTGAGGTGCTCCCTGCACGTCCCCCCTGCCCTCCCCCAGCCGTGCCATGTGCTCCCCCCGCCCGTGGCTGCAGGTGGCTGCAGGGAGGTTAAATCCAGGCAGACAGGATAAAGGAACTGAGCACAGATTAACCGGGCAGGCTGTGCCCTGCTCTGCCAGGCTCTGCTCAGGGGAGGATAATGCCCCAGTGCTGGCTAAAGCCAGCACTTGGAGATGCCTCAGCCACTCAGGATGTCCCCAGGGTGGCTCTGGGTTCTCCTTTTGTCTTCAGGTGCCTCCTGGTCCCTGTGAGCAGCCAGTGCTGTGTGAGCCTTGAGGACAAAGTCGTTCTGGCAGAGGGGTGATGGGGGATGCTCTGCCTGCACCCAGGGAGCCTGGGGCTTGTGGGGCTCTAGCTGAGCATCCCTGCTCCTGCCTGGAGAGACTGGCCAAAGGAAGGGTGTCAAACAGCCAGAGAAGGCTCAGGGGAAGGCAGCAGTCAGCCTGCACCTCTGCCCTGAGCTTGTGCCTGCTGGTGAGAACAGGAGCTTTGCTGACAACATATCTCAGGGTCTGGGAAAGTCAAAAGGGCAGGAGAGACACAGGCTGGGAAGGTGCTTTCATCTCCCATGACATCTGGGATCAGACTCAAGTTGTGATCACACCCACATCTAGGGGTCAGGGTGAGTGTCTCCCATCAGCCAGGAGGTTCTCGGAGAGCCAAGAGGTTCTTCCATCAGCCAGGAGGTTCTGATTAATTCAGAGCCAGCAGAGATATAAGAGAAGGTCAGTTCACCCTGAAGCTGGCATCTCCAGCTTCCCCTAAACTCCATTGACTGATGCAGGCACATCGGAGTCTAAATATCAGATTTAGCCCAGTTCTTAACAGGCTCAAGGGGTGAGCTGACTCCACCATGGTTTGCACCACCCTCGGGTGGTGTGGTTCTCCCTCAGGGAGATGAATCCCAAACCAGTGCTCTCAGGGGGTGTCTGGATCAAATCAGGTGCTGAATGAGTTTAATCCTTTGTGCAGCAGAGCTGGCAGTCAGGTATGGTGTGACTAGCACAACATGCCCTTTTTCTTCCTTACAGCATCTTCCCTAATATTTTGACGGGGCCTTTAGCAGGTCTGTCTGGAGCATTAATAAACCCTTTCTCCGTAATCAGCAGATTTCACAATTACTCCATTTCTTAATCAATTGCAGTCGTTGCAAATTCTTTCAACAAACAAATCTACCAGTGCCTGTGCCACCCACAGCCAACACCTCCCCAGGTCCTGTCCAACCCCAGCTCCTTCCCCAGCTCTCAGCCTGAGCTGCTGGACTGCCTGTGGGAGCTTGGCAAGCCTGGCTGGCCTCTCTGTGCTGTTCTTGCTGGGCTGCTTGAGCCCAGGAGTCCTGGATTAATTGCTCAAAACACACAGGAATATCCCCAGCTCCTCCATCCTGAGCCTGCTGGGGAGTGAATGTGTGAGCAGGGCCCCCAAAGTGGCAGAAGGAGGGGGAAGCTGTTTGACAAAAAGCTCTTGGCTGGTGTAGCTGCCTTTGATGCAGCTGTGTGGGCGCAGATAAGAACTCTGGAGGAACCTGGAGTGATGCTGAGAGTGCTGCAGGCTCCTTGAGAGTCACTAAATAATGTGACCGTCCTGCAGGCAATAATAAAGTGTTTTCAGCCTGAAGGAGTGAACTCAGCAGAGAAATCAGGAGGTCTGCAAGGGCAGGGAGACTTGAGTGGAGAAAAAGGAGTCCCTTGTGCACTGGCATCAAACGAGCCAAACAGAAAGGAAATTAATAAAAGAGAAGTGATGGGAGCAGCAGGGTGGTGTTCTAGGTTCCTGCTCGTGCAGACAGTCTCCAGGTGCATGGCAGCTGGAGTACAGCCTGGGATATCCCCCAGAACGCAGTCTGGGCAGTAACCAGCAATGACCTTGGCCTTGTGTCCTTGTATTTCTATTTTCTCATGTTTTTAACTTTATTCTCAACGCTGTAACCAAAGGCTTATCTTTGTTCAGCAGCGTGGTCAGCTTGCATGCTCTCAGCTCCAGTGTGTGCCAGGAGAAGGCAAAGCAGATGGAGCTGAAAACAAAGTCTCACATCCCACAGAGAGAGGATCGCTGCAGAGGGAAACGTGCAGGCAGCTCTCAGGGCCTGTTTGGGGTGGATGTGGCAATCTGAGGTTGGACACTGCACCTCTCTGAGCTGTCACACCTCCTGAGTGCTGGGATCTGGGGAAATCTGCTCCCGGCTGGGCCTGGGAAGGGCAGCAGTGCTCACCTCGTCCCAGGGAGGGGGCACAGGGCCCCTCTGTGTGCAGAGAGCTCAGGATCTTCCTTCTGCCACTGTGGGAGAGGTTTTACAGCGACTGCTGTGAGCCAGAGAGAAGCTTGATAAGAGGATTCCTGTTTACCCCGAGAGAATTTCCTACCAAGGTCATTGACACAGAGACCAAGAAAGAAAGAAGGATAAATAAGAGAAACCTGCAACTGCCAATTCCAATAAGTATTTTGCTTGTCTCTTGTGACCAATGAGTAAAGTGTAAACTCAGGAGTTTTGTATGATACCTTGTGAAGGCTGACCTAGAACAGAGACTAGATGGAGCTAAAGAATGAAGTAGGGATTTATTAAAAGGCCTCAAATAGATCCACCTTGGGCAGCACAACCCAAAATGGTCACAAAATGCACAACCGGTCATGAGATCTCTCACTTTTAGTTAAGTTCTGCTCCATTTGCATATTGGAGTTCATTGTCCAATTCCAGCTTCAGCCCATCAGTCCCATCCTGCTTGTTTTTCTCTCTCCAGCCCACGCTGTTTGTGCTCCTGGGCTGAGGTTTGGATCATTTGTCCTTGGTGCCCAGCTGGAGCAGGAATTGTTTTGTCTCCCTGCTCCATGCAGAGAGCTCACCATCCCATAATGTGAGTCCAGACCCACAGACTGAAGCAGAGCAGAATCTGAAAAGTAGAAAAGTTCAAACGTGAAACATCATGTAAGAATATATAAAAAGCATGCATGCTATAATAAAAACAGGTTTGAAGCCTTCTGAAAATGGAGTGTGTTTCTTTGCATTGTGACCATCTCAACTACAACAGGTGAACACCCTGACTTGTACCAGGCTTGCTCAGGATTGCCAAACATCGTGTTTGTGCCAGCTGAAGCTGCAGGGGAAGCACAAGCCCTGCTCCAGGTCTCGTGTTGGAGAAACAACCTTGACTTCTCACTCTGGTAGTTTCTGTTATGGTCAGTGCTTACATGACATTTTGCTATCAGATGCTAAAATCAAAAAGTGTATTCAAACCTGAAGAGCTCTGGGATGCCACAAACTGGGAACTTTTGACCTGAGGTTTAAAATACTTTGCAACAATCAAACTGCAACTTTCTTCTGAGAAATCCAGGGATGTGACTTTGCAGGTTTGCTCTGCTGTGACAGATTGTCAGAAACAGTTGCTAAATCCAGTAACTTTAACTATATTTGATTTTTGTTTGCCTTGCTGACTCAACGTAGCTACTGCTGTGGGTGCCAGAAGATATTCCTGGACATACAATAGCAATGCAGTTATGACCTAAATGCTGATTGCAGAGCTGCTGTCACAGACTGAGGGTGACTCAGAACCTACTGTTTGAGATTTGTTATTTGTAATTTGCCTTTTTTTCCTTAGCTTAAACAGTGCACTCACCTGGCTTGGGCTTAGAAAATGCACTTTGACAAAGAATTTTAGAAAGGACAGTGAAACAGGATTACCTTCTCTTTTAGGTGCCCAGCTGGGTGTTTTTAATGTGGGGATGAAAGTCAAGGCACTAAGATACCCACTTACTTTTAAAGTTCCTGGAGCATATGACTAATTGCATCTCTGCTAAAAAGAAGGCAGGATAGGTAAATCCATCTGCTAAGTCATAAACAATCCTTGCCAAGAGATTGCTTGTCCAGACTCTGTGTGGAAAAACATATTGAGTCATCAGCCTTCCTAGACACTGGGAATAGCTTAGTAAGGCTTAAAAAAAACAGGAGAACGGCTAAATTGATGGTATTTTGGGGATGGGATGTGAAGCATCCAGGACAACTCCCTTCATGTAAATGTCTGGGGGCATTGTATGGCTGGGAGATTGTGAGGAGCTGAGTAGGGAGCAGTTGGGCGTCATCAGACATGCAGGTCTGCAGGCAGTGGAGAAGGAATCACTTGCAAGTGTTCCCTAAAAATATTTTGCAAATTGTTTCTTGGCTTTCTCCTGGGAGGGGGGAAGCTGCAGTGGCTGCAGGCACAGGCTGGGATGAGAGGCTGCAAGGGCAGGGGATGTCTCCAGGTGCCTGGAAGGTGCCTGGGCTGAGCTCT